GCGACCTCAGCATTTGTCCTGGCCAACACAATAATCGCTTTTAAAGACAGCTCACAGCATACTCGCACTAGCAAGAGTACTGTGGGCTGGTGACACAAAGTAGTTTACCTTTGTACCCGCACTAGCACAGTTCTCAATGTATCTGACCGCAATTACTGCTGGATATGGATGCATCTGGCTGCAATCATGTCCAGAGTGGAGTTGAAACAGCCCTGGTGTGAACACGCCTTCAGTGTTCGTAAACATATTACCTTGCAGAGTCAATGGGGGAGCCAGGGAAATGGAGATATCGTAAGTGACTCGGGGGTGGATAGGGGGGGGTTGTTCCTGGGGTAGCTTCGAGCAATGAGAGGAAAGTAGGGGCAAAGGAGGAAAAGAGTGGGAGGAAACAAGGGGATGAAACCCGAAGGGGGGGGACAGGGGCACTGCCACAGCACCTCTCTCTCCCCAAGGAAGGGGAAGTGGAACCACGGAGGGGGAAGGGGAAAAAACAGAGTGCCTTGGCACCTCTCTACGCCCCCCCCCCTCTCTCTCTCTCTCTCTCTCTCTCTCTCTCTCACACACACACACACACACACACACACACACACACACACACACACACACTTGCACTTCATGTTGTTTGCTACAGGGCATCATTAGACACTCCTCGGGGACGCGGAATCCCCAAGGAGAATGACTAGGCGTAAAGGGCACGTAGGTGGTGAATTAGGCGCGAAGCGGTGAAAGTCGCCAGCTCAACTGGTGGAATGCCTTCAAAACTGGTTCACTGGAGTAAGATAGAGGAAAGTGGAATTTCTAGTGTAGAGATCCCCAAGGAATTGTTCGTTCCGCCTATCCTCGGGGATGCAATCCGAAAAAAAAAGTGAAAACGCTCGTAAGGAAATTCCTCGGGCAATCCGAATTTCCCCAGCCATTTATTCCTTGTGCCCAAGGGAGCTCACGAGGTCCCTTGGGCACAGGGAATCCGCATTTCACCGAGAGGAGAGGGCACACGGGTAGATAGACAGTACAGCCGAGAATCTGGATCGTGGCCGCACCCTATTGGCTGAAGGCCTGAAGCACAACTGTTTTTTTCTTTCTTTTCTTTTCTTTTTTCTGACACCGGTCTTAGGAAACGTCCTCGGGCGACGTCCCCAAGGACAGGTGGAACGAAGGGCCCAAATTTCCTTTTGAGCCATTAGGAATCTTTCCTATTGCCCGAGGATTTCAATATGCCCATAAAGGTGAGCTGTTTTCATTTTGGATCTGCCCATCTTATAGTGTGTGCTTCATTATGCTTCTAGCATAGAGGGGAAGCTGTTTCAAATTTCGATCTGCACATCTGGGTGGAAGGAAAAGGGGTCGTCATGGTGACAATGTAAAACGTACACACACAGACAACCACAGGTTGGAGGAGAAGTATGGTCTTCTCCTTCTTTTTTTTTTTTTTTTTTCAATTCCACGACGAATTTTGGAATTGACACTCAAGCAAAAGCTGTTGCACTTCCCATCCTGCATACCGTAGTGCCTTTTTTTTTTTTTTTTTTTTTTTTTTTTTT